CCTATGCTTTGACTCAACCACTACCAGCGACGTCTGACGGTGTGACCTTGACGATGGTGGTCGATGGTTGTTGTTTGTGAGAGGCAGCGGAACTTGGTTGGGCAATGTGGTCGGATTGTGACTGGAGATCGGATGGAGGTCGACGATTATATTGTTCGCCGGTGTCGGATGGTGCGCGCCGGTCGCAGGCAGCATCAGACGAGGTCGGCTTCGCCGGCGCCGGCGGCCAGTAGACGGCAGTGACCCGACCACATTTGTAAATTTTAGATTCAATTTAGAAGGATCTATACTTTTTGTGTCTCAAGATTACTAAATTTATTCATTGTACATCCTAAGCATCTAGTTTTCAAACGACCAGTAATCTCCTCTAATATCTTTAGGTGATATCTTTTCAGAAACACCAATTAGTCGATGACCATGCCGTCTCTTTCCGGCCATTATTACCGGAAAACACACCAAGGATGTAGATACATATTAACAGTTAACAGTGACATACACCACCTCACACAGCAGCGAAAGAGAGGTGAGAGAGAGAGAGAGAGAGAGAGAGAGAGAGAGGAGTTTCAGGTGGGGCCTACTGTGAGCTGTGAGTTGGCGTGTGGTGGCGTGGGACCCACTGATGTGTGAAAAATTATCACATTGTCCTTAATGAATGTATAATTTTGATTTTTTTTAGCCGTTGAATCATTTCATCTAATGACTACGATGTATTCTTATTTTTTTTTTTACTTACCACTATTCTCACCGTGACCTATGTATATATATTCATAAATTTCCAAGCACCATTGTCAACATTCTCCTTTATTGGAATCAAACATGTGAGCGTTTTCATCAACGAAAACACACTTTTTTTTTGCAATAACAGGGACAAAGACTTTTTAATATAAGCCAAGACAAGATCACCACCTTTAAAAAAATGGGCATTATACATTACTAGTGCGGTACCCATGCAATGCACGGGCTAGTTTTATTAAGGTAAGCATTTAGAATTGGATGAGTGGAAGAACGGTAACACGCATGTATTGGAATAAAACAAAATGAAACTTATATATTATTAAATACATCATTGTACACAACATTATTTATTTGGTCTTTTGGTACATCGTCTATCATCACAAATTATATAAGAATTCTAGATAGGCTTAATAAAATCAATTAAATTATTTAGCAGGATATATATGATATGATTTATAGTGGTTTTATAAAGATTGCATAGTCAAATATAACGGAGATTGTAGAACTTCTTTCATGATAATCTGTAACCTTATTATTTTAAAATTATGAATTACTTAATTTAAGGAAGGGAAAAATTGTGTAAGTGTGAATCAATTTCAAATTTGTATTCTAGAGGATTAAACAAAACCAAAATTTTTAGGATGTTCCAATCCGATTTAATTTTTGAATTTCAATTCAATACTATCTCACTCTGTTTTGTATTTAAAAAAAAATCGAATTGAAGAAAGTAGTAGTCAAATGATAAGAGATTTTTACATTTTAATTTTTAATTTGAAATTGAGCCTGATTTCTATGCAATCCAATTTTTTTAATAAACATGATATGTTGCAATTAGGTAAAGATACATGTTATAGTATTTTACCTAATTTGAAATTCTCGATTTTATGGTAAATAATTTTTTTTAATAAAAAATGAGAGAATTTTGACTTTTACAAAATTATCATGCCGAATTTTACTTAAATTAACCCGATTTCTATGCAATCCAATTTTTTTTATTACACAATTGATATGTTGCAATTAGGAAAAAATATATGTGATAATATTTTTCCTAATTCAAAATTCCCGATCATATGGTAATCAGTTTCTTTTTTTTTTTTAATAAAAAATGAGAAAGAATTTTGACTTTTGCAAAATTGTAACCATCAGTCGAAATTTAACTAAATTAAATCCACAAAACCCATGAATTTAGGGTGCATATATAGCTGATCAATTTTTTGGGAATAATTTAAAAAGGAAATTCAAAAACTGCAAAATAGAATGCAATAAATCTTGGTTGACTTTTGTTGTTAATATTTTTGGTAAATAGGTTCTCTCTTTATATATAGATATAGATATAGATATAGATTACTTGTAATTATTTGTGCATAAAATATGACCCAAAACATAATCTTGTGAAATTAATTTTTTTTTTTCATTATAAAACCCATACCAATTTTAAAACTCATAAAACATAAAATACAAAATTGGGACAATATATTTAGACGAAAGTAACAGCATAAAACAATTTTAATTGGCTATTTATTATAACTGTTGATCCAATAAATAGCCTGACCGCGCGTCGCGACGCGGCAAATTTAAATTTATAAACTTTTCCTCGACTAACCTCTACTAACTAGTAGTAGTGGCGAGTAAGGGTCGATCCCACGAGGAGCAGGAATTAAATCGTGATAATTCTCGTATTAACTGAATTAAACTAGGAAAGCAATAAAGGTGGGGGATTGGTTTTATAAAAATAAAAATAAAAATAAGAAAATAAAATAAAATAAAAATCTAATAAAATAAGAGAAGTCCAGTTTTCGTTTCAATTATCACCCAATCTAAATCTACCGTTAATCAATTTCGACACTTTTTTTAAATTGCTAATGAATTACCGACCCTAGCTAACAACAAGCTCTGTTAACCGAATTTTCCCTTACCGAATATTTAATCGAAATAAGCTCTTCGACTAAATCTAACTAGCGGACAACCTAGAATAAGCTCTCTAGATTTAATACACTAGCAGCATTAATTCCTAGGAAAATAGATCAGTCTAAGCAATGGACGCACAAGCTCGGACCATTTAACTTATGCTCATGCTACCCTAGAGATGCACGACCCCTAGTTTACTACTAACGAAACGAGACAATAACAATTACGGATTAAAGCCTCGAATCTAGCAATTAAACCATGAACATTCGACGTAGTTGGCCAGACTAAATCAAACACCATAATTTATAAACATTAAATATAGATAACATGAATCAACTCATCAACAAAAATAAATACGGAGTCTCGATTAATTAACGATAAATAAAGATCATCCAATTCATAGACAAATCGAAATTAGGGTTCAAACATTCCCTCAAACTGGATAAAAAACTAGTCTAACATATTAATAAAAATAAAAAATAATAGATAAAAGAGAGAATAGAATTATCCTCTCGTGTGCGATTGCGGCTTCCCTCCGCGTGTGGTGGTTTCTTCTCCGTCGGCTTTTCTGTGCGCAAGTCCTTTTTTTTCTTTTTGTCCGCCGTTCTTTTTTTCTGCCCGTGCGCAATGATATCAAATAATTCCTTGGCTTCCAATAATGCTTGAGTGCCCCTGGTGCTCACGTTTCTGTTTCTTTTTTTTTTCTTTTTTTTTTTTTCTTTTATTTTTTTTTTTATTTTTCTTTCCTAACAAAAAAATCCAATTCCAATTAATTCCCAAGCCAAAGTCTCTCTCCAACAAGACATTGTTGCGTGAGTGTGATTTCTAATTGGGCCCTCAAATCCAATTTAGGCTTTCGATTTAACTTGGGCCCAAAGCACTCCCATATTGGCCTTCATAAATTCTCGTTTGGTACTACCTCGATCATGAAAATACTCAAATATCCTGAAAATAAAGCATAAAAATATCAATGTATATGATCCATTCAAATAATAAATAAGCCAAAAAAATATAACCGTGCGAATAAATTAAGTGTATAAAAATATACTATTAAATATATAAAATACGCACATTTTTCGACCTATCATAGCCCAATATAAGAATATAAATATTATGAGTAAGACATAGAGCCCAAACATTCGGCCCAGTTCAGATGAAATTAAATCTATCCGAATTCATTTATATTATTGATCTAACGGCTTAAATTTGTCAACATAAATCCAACGGATTATCAAATATAAAAGGCAATCCATGTCCAATTTTGTAGGGCTTTTAATTTTTTCTCCGCATCCTTGCATTTATCTTATCTCTTCTCACTTATCTCCATATCCTTCACGGTTTCAGAAAGTATGCATTATGAATTTTGGGTCAATTTTTATTTGTTTTTGTATTTTTTATTTTGATTTTTTATTAAGTTTTCGAAATTTTAAACACAAAACACCTCAAATCTAGTTATAGATCTTTATTTTTTATCAAAATACATGANTCCTAATACGTAGGCGGCAGAGTTGATTCGACTGTTTCATTTTTATTAAAAAAAAATCCAAAATAGTATACAATAAATGCTTTCTTAAATTTTTGGAATACTATTTTTGATAAATAGTAATTCTTATTATATATATATATAGATTATTATTTATTTAAACACAAGTTACAATCCATCACGTCTAGTGTGTCATTTCATGAAATATTTCTTTGTTTAAATATTCAACATTATGATTCTACTAAGTATTTCTCCATTTTAAATACTCATTCTACTAATTATTTCACAATTAAAAAATATGCAATTTTCCTCCATTTGCTTAATTATTAGAACTTTATGTATCGAACATTTCTTTTCATTGCAATGCTTTTTATTGAATAATTAAGCAAATGGAGGAAAGTTGCTTATTTTATATATTAGCCATTTTCAATTAAATTCACAGTTCACTGCAATGCTTTTATTGAATCGGTCTGACGGTCGGTCCACTATCAGAGCCGCACCCCAATGCTGGTTGGTTATTAGGACCGGTCAATCTCGGGCAAAATTGGGCATTGACCCGTTCAATTTATTTATTATAATTAATATTTAGAAATAAAATTATGTGTATACATTAATGTGGTAATATTAATGACAAGATACAATATTATTAATAGTTTGAGGTACAAAAGTAACCTATAAATTTTATAATTTTCTCAAAGAATAAAAAGTTAATTGTGTATATATATATATTTATGATGAAAAATAAAATATTAATGTTTTGAAATATACAATTCTCTTATAAACAATTTAATTTTTTTTTTATGTTAATAAAATTCATAAGAACAAATATTATATATATTTAATTTCTTAAATTAATTATCTGAATAGGGAAATTGATTGGGTGACCCGAGGACGACACGGATCACTACCCGGACGCCGGACGGGAGTTTGAAAGCAGAGTGTTTTGTGAATTAAATATCCCAGCCTGTATTTAAATGGTCACTCGTAAAGTGATGCACGTGCTCCACGACAAGATGGAAAAGAGTTGTGTGAAGACGGTGTGTGTGACAGGAGGTGCTGGCTACTTGGCTTCTTTTCTCATCAATCGTCTCTTGGCCAAGGGTTATCTTGTTCATGCTACCCTCCGAAATCTAAGTTGCTTCTTTGCTTATTTAATTTTCCCTTTTTTATCCAACATTTCCCTTCATGTCTGATTTTTTGAAATTTTTGGGTTTTGTTTTAAATATATGATTGAATTGCATGCCTTGCAGAAGATGATTCAAAAGTAGGGCTTCTAAAGGGATTAGGTAATGCGGATACAAGATTGAAGCTGTTTGAAGCTGATATTTACAATCCTTGTGAATTTGCGGCCGCTGTTGAGGGCTGCCAAATTGTGGTTCATATGGCCACACCTCTGCAACACTACGGCAACGACTCCCAGGTTCTTCAATTAATTTAAGTTTGTTTTTAATATTATTATTTCTCAACTTATAATTAGATAATTAACAAGTTTTGGAAATTTTAAATTCACTTTGCCAATTGCTGTTAAAGGTCCGGTAGATATGGTAGTAAGTATTGGCTAATTAATCCAATCACCTAATTAATTAGCAATTAAGATATATCCTGTAAAGAGAAGCGGCTAAAAGGAGTCAATCAATCGGCTTAATTAATTTCCTTGAATTAATTTCAAATTAATATATAGTTTGTTTTTGGAATTGGGCATAAAATGAGTGTTGTGCATGTGAATTGTATGTAGTACAAGAATACAAGTGAGGCAGCAGTGGGTGGGGTGAAGTCCATAGTGGAAAGCTGCGTGAGATCAAACACTGTCAACAAACTCATCTACACAGCCTCTGTAGTGGCTTCTTCACCTCTCAAAGAACAACAAGAAGAAGAAGGCGGCTATAACTATAAGGATTTCATTGATGAAACTTGCTGGACCCCACTCAATACCTCTTACCAAATGCTCACTGTACCTACCCTGCTATGTTTCATTTTCATCACCACAACATATAATTTCTTGTTTTCATTTACACTAGCTAGATACAATATACTTAGCTTTAAATTAATATGCAGGATTATGTACGTTCAAAGACCTTAGCCGAAAAGGAAGTTTTGAGCTACAATGGGAAAAATGGCATACAAGTAGTGAGCCTAGCTTGTGGGCTAGTTGGAGGCGACACCATTCAGTCCTTTATGCCTGAGAGCATGGCTACACTTATATCACAGGCCATAAATGATGGGGGTAGGTATAGAGTGCTGAGGGGTTTGGAGGACCTGCTTGCAAAAGTCCCAATTGCACACGTGGAAGATGTGATTGATGCACACGTGTTCTCCATGGAGACTCAACACATCAACGGCAGATTTCTTTGTGCGTCTCATTTCTTAAGTTCCGCTCAGATTGCAGCTCTCATTCAGAATTGTCAACCAACTATTACCATCAAACCAGAGTAAGATACATACATTACAATTTTTTCCTACTTCTAAAATAATTAATATGACTTTTCATTTTTGTAAAACCAAGCACCATTGCCGTTCTGTCACGTATCGTTTAGTGTTTGTTTTGTGAAAATAAGTCATGATGAAAGTTAGAACCTGGAGAGACAACATCCAGTTGCCGACGAGATCACGGCCAAAACATAAGATACAAAAAAAAGCTCACACGAACACAAGAGAACGAACACGATCTTGTTTAGTGTTGAATTTACAACTTTTCTAGTACTATTTTATTGCTTAAATAGAGGAATAAAGGGGCCTAATTAAGGCCTACAAAGACTTAAAAGAAAAAACTAATAAAGGCCAACAATCATGCCAAAAGATTGAGAATCATCACGCAACTAAGGAAAACAAATAAACTAAATAGGTGCACACAGATTATATCCTCAAGTAGAATATTTACTACAATATCTTCCTAAAGCCTTGTGCACATTGATCACATTGATCATGCCGATTGTAGAGTGCAGGGAACTGGGCCCTCCCAAGCGGCTTCTTCTGAATGTGTTTTATCCCTTAATGGTTCTTTATTAAGGCAATGGCAGACTTGTTGTCCACCCTCAGCATTAGCACTCTTGGTGCTGATCCCTGCAACTCAGCCAGCACCCGAGCTAGCCACAATGCTTGATTAGTAGCGTTTGCAGCTTGTGTATTCCACCTCACAGTTTCATTGTGTCACCACCTTCTGTTTCATAGATTGCATAGATTGCCAGTGATCGTGTTGCTGCTGAGGAAGAAAATCTCCCTTGTTGTGCTCTTGCTAGCATCAACATCGTTGTCACTAAAACCCATCAAGTGAGCTTCTTTCTCCTCCTTCATGCCAAACCAAAGTCCCCCATTCTGGGTTCTTGCCACATAGCGTAAAATGTGTTTCACACTAGCAAGGTGATCCTCACGTGGGTCCTCCAAAAACGGGCTAACATAACCAACAACAAAAGCCAAACCGAAGCGAGTATTAACCAAGTACATCAAGCTCCTGACTATGCTCCTGTATATTTTCTGGTTGACTGTGGGCTCCAAGATGAATTTGATCAACTTCAGTCGTGCCTCCATAGGCACCTGACAGAGCATAGGCGTCGTGGCTGAGCGAGATTCTCCTTGCGCTCTGTTTCACTTCAATGTTGACGTATTATTCCAGTAGGCCGAGGTCGCTCATCTTGAAAGCATCTACCATCTCTTCTTGAACGACTTGATGTCGCTGCAGCTCGAACTGGTGATCACGATCATCGACATAGACCCCAACCACCAATTGCAACTTGTCGTTCTGCCTGATGTAGATAGCGTGCTCCGACGTGCTGCACTTGAAGCCGAGCGATATCAGCATGGCGTGTAGCTTTGCGTTCCAGGATTGTGGCGCTTGATGCAGACCGTAAAGCGCCTTCTGAAGCTTGAGCACCTTGTGCTCTTTTCGACGATGATGAAGTCGGTCGGCTACTCGAAGTAGACTTTCTTTTGTAGGTCGCCGTTTAAGAACTCCGATTTAACATCCATATAGTGTACCTCCCACCCATCGTGCACGGCAAGGGTGATGAAGAGGTGCACCGAGTCCAGCCTGGCAATCGTCAAGAACACCTCGTCATAGTCGGTTGTCATTGTGCGTAGCCCTTCACCGCAAGGTGCGCCTTGTGCTTGGACACCGCCGTTCTCGTCCCTTTTCACCTTGAACACAAGCTTCACCTAGATCGCCTTGCAGTCGGGTGTGAGGTCGACTAGGCACCATGTGTTGTTCTCCTTGATGGGCTCCGTCTCCTCCATCATTGCCTTCCTAAAACTGGGTTGCGCTACGAATGAGACAGGCTCGTCTGTGCTCACCGAGTGCAGCTCCTCCATCACTAGCGCGCACGGAGCGAAGCCTCGTGGCGAGATCGATCCGATGATGTCATCTATCCTACAGAAATAGAGAGACACGCCGTCATCATGGTCGCCATCCTGTTTGTTGTCGTCGATGTCGTCCGGTAAATCTAGCTCCCGTTCGCCCCCAGCCGCACTGGGAAGCGGCGACTGCTCTTCTGGCGCTCATTCTCCAGGCACCTCCACGGCGTCATTAGACTTAGCCGCAGCCTGGCCTGTGGTGGTATACTCCACTGTAAACACGTCGTTGCCGCCTCCTGGCTCGCCATCGCTACTGGTGCCCCAATCCCACATGGCTTGCTCGTCGAACACCACGTCACGCGTCATGTGGACACGCCTTGGGACGGGGTCATAGGCACAGTAGGCCTTGGTGTCGCGCTCGTAGCCGATAAAGATCATCTAGTGGTCGCAGTCCTCCAGCTCTCACGTTAGGCCCCTTGTTGCGCACATAGACGATGCAGCCGAACAATCTGAGATGGTGCACCGTTGGTTTCCTCTTATGCCACGCCTCGAACGGTGTCATCCTCTCCACGCACTTGGTCGGGCGTGCACAGCGGTGCTGACTGCCTCACCCCAAAAGAATCCAAGCAGGCTCTTGGCCTTGAGCATGTTCTTCGTCGTTTCCACCATCGTGCCATTTTGGCATTCTACGGCACCGTTCTACTGCAGGCTGTAAAGCGCCTTGTGCTGACGGTGCACGCCCTCAACCGCGCAGTAGTCCACAAACACGGTTGCTGTGAATTTGCCCCCACAATCGATGTGGAGCGTCTTCAGCTTGACGCCGGACTCGCCTTCTGCTCACACCTGAATCTCTCTAATGGCAGTTGCGGCACGATCCTTTGAGGGAATCACGACTATCCACATGTTATCTTGTAAGGTCGTCCACCATCAGCAGGAAGTACTTGTTACCTCTGGGTGCCGCACAGGTCAACATGCACCAGCTCGAGACGTTGTCGTGCACGGTACTTTGCCTGCGTTGGGAACGAAGTCCGTCTCTGCTTTTTGGCCTGGCACGCATCGCACAACTTTTCCTGCCAATCTCTTGGTAGGCTATGCATCAGCTCTTCCCGATCCAACTTCCTGAGCATCGCCATGTGACGTGGTCGAAGCGCTCGCCACACCATCTCGTCACCGTGCCCACTCATTGCCAAGCACGATGGATGCGCCATGATACGGAACTTGTACAGGAGGTTGGCAGTCCACGTCACCTTCGCCAGCAGCTGTCCGTCGGGATCCCTGATCCTCAACACCCTCTTGTAGCCGCCTCGTCTAGCTGTCCGAGGCTGATTATGTTCATCGTTAGCCGGGGAATGAAGTAGACGCTGGCAAATGATCGGAGCAAGTCATTATTGCACGTGAACACGACGGTGCCCCATCCCTTGATCTGTGCCACCAAGTCATCGCCTGTGCTGAGCACCGCCTTGTCCAGCTTCAATTTTAAGGTTCAATTTTACAAACCCGTTATGAGCCCAATGTCCAAGTCTTAAAGTTGTGTCGAGCAAAAATTGGTTCGACCAGCATCATAATTCCTAGCTTGGCAATAGAATGAAACGGGTGAAATGCTTTTTGGTAAACCACGAAATTGCTCGAAGCATATGTTATGTGTAATTTTAAAGACTAGGAGGTGTATTTAATTAGGATTTTTAAGGATTTTTTAAGACTTTAGAAATCCTGGTGTATTCAATTTAGATTTGTTAAGACTTTTTAAAACTTTTAAAAATCCTGGGGTATTCAATTGGGATTTTTAAAAAGTCTTACAAAATCTAAGGTATTTAATTTTTTTGACACTAGGATTTATTAAGACTTTTTAAGATTTTGTGGGATTTCTAAACAAAAAACTTTATATGAAATCCCACTTAAAATCCTACCTCCGGACTTGAGATTTCATAGAATTCTTCCAAAATCTGAAAATCCTAGAAAGTCTCAAATCTCGAAAAGTCTTAAAATGTCACTTAAATTCCGAATTGAATACACCCAAGATACAAGATTTTTACACCTGATTTATGTCAATATTGCTACACATAAATCCATTTACTTTAAAATGGAAGGAAAATAAATTTATTGTCTATTTGTGCTCTTCTTTTTCTAATTGTTCCCTCTAACTTCAGGTTGGTTGAAGATGTGAAGAGAGAAACTAGCTGGGGTTCAAGAAAACTAGAGAATTTGGGATTCAAGTACAAATATGATGCTCAAAAGATTATACATGATAGCCTCCTATGTGCAAAGAAGTTGGAAATTATCTAATCTTATACTTATTTTAAGGTTATTTATTTAAACCCTACACATATGATGTATGTAATGGGATACATGAGGGAAAAATAAGATTACATTTGAGTTACCTCCAGTTCTCCCCCATCTATTTTCTCGAATAAGCTACTTTGACATAACTAGTACACAGTACGTGCTGTGCACAATATAATAATGATAATTGTATAAATTAAAGAAATGAATAAATATTGATTAGTATAAAAATAGTTTCTAATACTAATATTAATTTTATATCATATTTTATATCTATGATATTTAAGTTTAATATATGATTTATATACTTATTTCATTCGTTATAAAATAGTTTTAGAGTTCCTATTGAGAATTAACGAACATGAAAATTTAATATATTCAATTATTATTAATAAATAATACTCACAAAAATATTTCTCTATCAGTTCTCTTACTTATATACCTTATTATAATATACTACTTTGATTTCTAAATAAATGATGGTAAAATTAAAAAAAAAATGTGGAAAATATTATATTTGACAATTAATTTAAAGTGAATGTAGTGTATATTATTTTAAAGTTATAAAATTTATTAATTTTTAATTACGTAAAATTATTTTAATGTTTTGTAACTTCAATATTTAAAAAATTTTGAATTTTATTTCTAGTTTAATGAATCATACTGCAGTTCTACATTAGTTGATATATCATTATAATCTATAACAATACACATTATAAATATTATGACTATTCTTCTAAGCTAATAATTAACGTCGTCGTTCTGTAGATGACTTGTTGGTCTATCATTATAATTTTATAATTTATAACAATATATTATAAAATATTTTCTTTATTTATAAGTCCATAATTTATATGTTTGACAGATGGTCAGTTGATTTGTCAATATAGTGTATAACAATATATATTTTAAATATTTATTGTCTTTTTAAACTTATAATTTACTATTACAGTTCAATAGAAGACTTATTGGTTTATCATAATTTACAACCAAACATATTATAAATATTTTGGTTCTTCATAATCTAGTAATTTACGCAGCAATTCAACTAATGCCTCATAAGTTTCTCAATTTAATATTGTATATACTTCATCCTTAAAATAACTTTACTTATATTTTTATATTTTTTAAACCCATGAATGATAAAATTACTAATTACTATTATAGATTATTTTATACTAAGTACATTTTATTATAAATACATTTATATTTCATTGTATGAATAACTTCAGATTAATTTCTTATTTACAAATCAATATTAAATAATAAATTTAATTTCAGTTTTTACATTCAATACATTATAAACTTAATAATACTTTAAAAATAATTATTTTTTATTTATACGTATAATCGAAGATCGTAAAATAAAATCTAACATAATATGATATATGAAAAGTGGATAATAAATTTCTGATTCATCCACTTATTTAAAGTGAGGACGTAAGACTCATTTTTAGTCACAAGATTTGGTACATATCATGTGTGGCCAAGATTTACTCTTTTCTTTTTATTATTTTAATTATTTAAATATTATTTTGACCCGTTGACTCCGGCGTTGACCGTTGACTTTCGGCGACATCCGTTGACTTTCGACGTTGATCGTTGGCTCCGGCGTTGACCGTTGACAACTAACCTTCCAACTAGGTTAGTTCTCTATAGTTGCTAGGTAAGTCTCTGTAGTTGCTAGATTAGTTCTCTCTAGTTGCTAGGTTAATTCTTTGTAGTTGCTAGGTTAGTAGTTGCTAGGTTAGTTCTCTCTAGTTGCTAGGTTAGTTCTCTGCAATTGTTAGGTTAGTAGTTGTTAAGTTATTTTTCTAATGTTGCTAGTTAGTTGTCTGTAGTTGCTAGGTTAGTTGTCTTTTGGTTGCTAGGTTATTTCTTTCTTGCTGCTAAGTTAGCTGTCTTTTGTTGCTAGGTTAGTTATCTTTAGCTGCTAGGTTAGTTGTGTTTGTTGCTAGGTTAGTTGTCTGTTGTTGCTAGGTTAGTTAATTGTAGCTGCTAGGTTAGTTGAGTTTTGTTGCTAGGTTAGTTGTCTTAAGTTGCTAGGTTATTTCTTTCTTATTGCTAGGTTAGTTGTCTTTTGTTGCTAGGTTAATTATCTGTAGCTGCTAGGTTAGTTGTGTTTTGTTGCTAGGTTAGTTGTCTTTTGTTGCTAGATTAGTTCTTTCTTGTTGCTAGGTTAGTTGTCTGCTGTTGGTAGGTTAGTTGTGTTTTGTTGCTAGGTTAGTTGTCTGATGCTGCTAAGTTAGTTGTATTTTGTTGCTAGGTTATTTCTTTCTTTCTGTTAGGTTAGTTGTATGATGCTACTAGGTTAGTTGTATTTTATTGTTGTATTTTATTGCTAGGTTATTTCTTTCTTGTTGCTAGGTTAGTTGTCTTTTATTTTTAGGATATTTATTTCTTGCTGCTAGGTTAGTTGTCAACGGTCAACGCCGGAAGTCAACGATTTTCACCGGAAGTCAACGATTTTCGCCGGAAGTCAACGGTCAACGCCGGAGTCAACTAATAATTATTTTATTATTTAATTAATGTATATTTTAATTGATTTTGATCTAGACAAAATGAGTGGCTAAGATTGAGTCTCACGTACTCATTTTAATGAGTGGTCTTATTGGATCCGTCCCCTATATATATATATATATATATTAATTTACACATAATTATTTTTTGATTATTTAATATATAACCATATTAATTAATTTATATTTTAAAATAAAAGAAAATTTTAAATTAGGTAGAAATTGAATAAATAATTATTATTTTTTTTAAAAGTTTAATGTCAAAATTGATATCACATCGCTAAAAATATAAGCAAAAATATATTAGATAGAAATAAAATAATTAATTGATATTTTTTACAAAGTTTATCTGTAGATCACTTATTGACGTAACATTATTTAAAATAAAAATAAAAAGCTCACCAGGCGGATGGTAAAGAAAAAATTACCCAAGAAAATTTTAAAAGAACATAAAAAAGAATGTTTAAAATAAATTCTTATTTAGCAGAAAAACCTTATTTGTCACATTATTTTAAAAAGAATGATTCCGTGGGGGATTTTAGCCATCAGATAAAATAACTGTAGACAATAACTGTATATCTGATAGCTAAAATCTCTCATGCAATCATTCCGTGACGGGATTGTAGACAAATCCATAAATATATATAATTGTTTAGAAGGTGTGATGGGTAAAGACTGCATCACAAATAATTTGAGAAATCCAAAACTTCAATTATCTTTCTTGGTCATACCGATTGATAGCTATAGTTGAGAAATCCAATTAATTGTCATTATTGCTTTAACATTCAACTAGGTGTTAGATTGAACATTCATTACGTATCAAGACAACAAATCTTATGTACGAATAAAATCAAGATAATGTACACAAACACAAATTTTGCAGTGAGACGGTCTAAAACGTGGATCGGTCATTCTATTTAAAGAAAAATATGTTATTATAAAACGAAATATCATAAGTTTATTTATATATGCAAAAACTTATTGATATAGCCATACTTGCGTAGACCAGATTAAGTATGGCCAACTCGACTGGACTGCAAGTGGAGTTGAGTATGTCGACTTGAGAAATAATTCCTCCATATGGATTCTTCCAAGTAACCGCTAGATATGAACAGAAGGGCGAATAACTCAGGGATCTCGAAGACGAGATGAGTGATTGACTAGGAAGATGATGATATAAGCTTAACGACTCCGCTTCACCTCGAGGCAGAGTTTTAATCGACCTCCCTCATCTCGAGGTCGATTTTACTCGCCTCGCGACTCGAGGTATGTGATGAAGAATGTCGTATCTCGACATCTAGCAGGCTTAAGGGATAAGGATGAATTTTAAGAGGATAAGATAGAATCTTAAGATGACTAGGATATGACTAAGAGATTAAGATATGAATATGCATTGAACATCCAGTCAGCCCAGCAGACTGATCGCGGGCACTCGGGCAGGACATTACAGGCAGATATTTCCTCTATAAAAGGGGCTGAGGTATCACCAAATCACAACTTTATATTCTCCATACAATACACTGTTTTCACCGTCTTCCTGATATTGACTTAAGCATTGGAGGCTCTTCGCCGGAAACCCTCCTGTGTTAAGTTCTGCAGGTTCATCCAGGCGGTTCAGACAGATCGGAGCTCATTTCAACCGGTTCAGTCCAGATCTAAGACATGACCCAACAATATGATTCCTTAAGGTGTAATATTTCGATAAAGTATATCAATTTTTCAGAACTATATCTGTGTAAGAACTATTATCTTCTTCATCACT